ACTCCTAGCTTAGACCTCCCTTCTAAATTCCAGAATTCTATGTCTAACTGGTTATTCAACATCTCCATTTAGTGACTACACATCCCAAATGTAACAAGCCAACACTTGGTTCTCAGTTGTCCCCCAAACCTGTCATCTTGCATATTTACCTAGTTGTTAAATGGTGCCCCCATTAAAAAAAATTAAATCATATTAATCTATGCCTGTACTTAAAAAGCCTTCAGTGTTATCCCACCTTGTTTGGGCTTTCCATGACCTGTCCCTTGTCACTGCTCTGATGCTGTCTCTTCCACTCTCCCCAGGTCCACTTCACCTCACTACAGTAGTCAGCCTCCTCCAGGTAGCCTTTGTATCCGTTACTCCCAATTTCTGGACAGCTCTTCCCCAAATGTCCACAGAGCTCCCTCTTTCACTTCTTCCAAGTATCATTTTCTTATTGAGGCCTCCCCTAGATACCCTATGTAAAATTACAACCCTGTCTTCCTATCCACACACTCCTAGTTACCTTCCCTGCTTTATTGTTGGCATATGACTTACCATTAACACACTATATATTCAGCTTATTTATTTTGATTACTATAAAGCTCCTCTACTACAAATTCTTTTTGGTACACTTTTGTATCCCAGCACCTTGAACAGTGGCCGACACAAAATAGGCTCCCCCAAAATAACAGATGAATGAATGAAGGGAACCAGTGATAATAAAAAGAGTTATCTCTTGGGTAGAAAAGTAGGTAGAACATACCTGAGATAAGTACTTTGTATATGTTAATGCATAACAACTTAATTATTTAAATTAATACTGTCCATATTGGAAGTGATTTTTAGGTGGGAACTACAGGAAAGGAAGGAGAAATTCTAGCTAAAAAGGTGATATGGAAGTACATGTTTTTTGCAAGTCAGCCTCAGACAAGGTAAAGACAGCTGATGGAAACACCCTGGAGGTCAGCCCAGATTACCAGCTCCCCAGCCTGCCTAGGGAGTGAAGCCATCAGGGAGGAAGGGGCCAGGAGGCAGGCTGGGAGTCGTGTGAGTGAGCTCATGGTACTGTGTACAGTCTTAGGGATGGTCCGTGTAGCCTCCAGGCTCACAGATTGCTGTGTGCTGATGTCCGTCTTGAGCATCTCTAGCAGTTCTTCATTTCTAGGGCAAGAGTCAGGGCTTATAGTACTTGTCTAACTCTAGGGCTAGATGTGCACACTGTAAAGCAAGTGAACCACAGTGAATCCAGGGAAAGGGATTGCTGCATATGCTCATATACTCATTAATAGAACACTTTGCTATCAAAACATAAATCCTCATGGTAGGTAACGGCACTGGAGTGCCTGTATTATGCTGCTTTGTGCCTAACACATTTTAGTGTTGTCACACATTTTTTAGTAGTTGGGAGTAAAAATCAATTCATCTACATCTGGACAGTCATTATTAGTTACAAAACATATTTAAAGTTAAAATGCAGTTTTAAAAAGTCTAATTCTGGAAGCTACAAAAGTTATATAATTCTCAAAAGTCTTTGTATCCAGATGTAGCTATCTGATTAGCTCGTATAGGCAAAATCCATGAACAAAATTCCTTTGTAAATCACATCACATTTGGATTTTGTAACACAAAGTTGATTTTACTAGACTTCACTAATTGACTTTCTTTCCTCCCATTAAACAGTCCTAGAGACAGAGGCTGTGTAACTTCTCCTTCCCCCTTTGACAGTGAACACAGTGTGGGGAGGGGCAGAGGAAGATACTGTGATATGTATCCTGTGCTGTCATATAAAAACTTGCCAAATCTTCCCCTATTTTGGAGAGGAAATAGTGGCATCCTCTCTGATACCTGCCTCAGCTTTTCTTCACAGTTTGTAATTGGTTTCCTGCATGGAATTCAAGCTTTGCTTGCTTACCCAGGCACAGATGTGACCAAGGACCCTGACCTATGCAGTTAATTAAAGGGCCCAATCTCATTTCTTTCCAAGTGGTGACCTCAGGCTCTATATACTAGATATGTGTATGTATAAATATGTATATATGCATATAAATATGTATGTATGGTATATATGCATATATTATGAGATAAAAAAAATAAGTAGAAAATGATACATCCTCAAAAGAAGTGAGGAAAGATATGAGAAGGGAAGGGAATTAGCATTTATTAAGCTCCTACTATGAACCAGGCACCCAGGAAAGAAGAGAAGGGGAAGAACAAAGATGGAGAGACATAATTATCTGGAAGTTGTAGAATGAACTTATGAAGATCTTTCTTAACATGGAGTGCTGTAAAGATGGATGCTGGCAGTCCATCTGGGAGCACCTGTCAAGCCATTCAGAGGGGAACAGAAGGCTGTGGGCACTGATTTGGGCTTTGTCTCCCCTAGGTGTTAGGCTGCTGTCTCGCCATAAAGTGAATTATCTTTGAAGTTTTGCTGAGCAGTCTAGATAGCATGACTTAAAAGTGCAAGCCCCTAAACAGAGTTCAGCTTCCCAGAATACAAATGCTCAGAGAACCAGACAAGGTCAGAAAAACCAGCCCAAGACATTTCCCTTTAAACCCTTGAGAATGGTAGTAGTCTCCATAATTAAAAGGATCCTAAAGACTATATTGGAGGTTTCTAAGGATTGTTGATGTTTTTTGCTCACATTTTAAAATCGGGGGGTTGTTAAAATTTCTATATTTGCATCTTTGTGACTTTTCTGATGAGCAGAAGGAGTGATGACCTTTCAGGGTCCCTGGGTAGGTGGGAGGTAAGGTCCGGTGCAGCTGAACTTTGGGTGTGACAAAGCAAGAGAGAAGAAAATAATAACCATTTTAGAGTGCTTTAAGGTAGGTCATCAAAAACTCCTTTTTAGGAACTTCTGGTCAATTATAGGTTTTGCTTAGATGTTTCTTTGGCTTTCTATACACCCATTGCCCCAATTTCACATCAGATACCCTCAGTATCATCAGACTAATTACAGGAGACTTTCTACCTTCATCTGCATTTGGGGGTAGATTTCAACCATTTGGCCCAATTTTCCATCATTCTCTATACCCATACTTCTTGCCATGTAACTCTGCAGTGCTCTCCCACTGTGGCCTGGGGACCTGCTTGGCTTCTTGACCTTGGGACTGGTCATGTGATTTTCTTTGGCCAATAAAATGCTTAGGAAATGTGATGCAAGCAGAGACTTGAAATGGACTTGCACACTGGGATTTGCTCTTCTGCCAGGAGAAGAATAACAGATGCATGGCACTGGCTAAGATGCTCCAAACAAGCCTACCCTAGAATATGGCCCCAGCAAACCCAAAGACATGTGAATCAGTCCAACTGAAACAAGCAGAGCCACCCAGCTCAACCCACCTCAAAAGAATTAAACCCTGCAGATGTGTAAAAAACAAATGTTACTGTTGGATGCCCTAGAGTTGTGTGGTTATTTGTTGCACAACAAAAGCTAAGTGATAAAATGCCATTTGATCCATGCTCCTCTTGTCTTCCAGAGTGATATTTCCAAAACGGAACACCAATTATCCTAAAATTACTCTGCCAGACACTTTAATAACTTCCTGTTACTGATTGCATGGTCTCTCCCCAAAATTCATATATTGAAGTCCTAACCCCCAATACCTCAGAATGTGATCTTATTTGGAAATAGAATAATTGAAAATGTAATTAGTTGAGTAAAGATGAGCCCATACCAGAGTAGAGTAGGCCCCTAATCTAACATGACTGGTGTCCTTATAAAAAGGGGAATTTGAAGACAGACACACTCACAGGGAGAATACCATTTTAACATGAATGCAGAGATCAAGATGTCTCTACAAGTCAAAGGACATCAAAGATTTCCAGAAAACCACCAGAAGCAAAAAGAGAGGAGTAGAACAGATTCTTCCTCACAGCCTCAGAAGGGGATGGTCATGCTGACACCTTGATCTCAGGCTTCCAGCCTTCAGAACTGTGAGATGACACACTTCTGTTATTTGAGCCACTCCCCATTACCTTTAGGATAAAGTATGGACTCCTTCACAAGGCATGGAAGTCCTTTCATAAACTGGTCTCTGCTCTGTCAATGGCTTCATCCTTCATGGTGTCCTACTAGCTTTACACACAGAACTTCACACAGAACTATTTACAGGCTCCAAACAAATCCTCCAGAGCTTTGGTCCATGCCGCAAGTGGCCTCCAGTGCCCTTCCCATGTCCCAGTAGATCCCATATGATTACCTAATTAGCTTCTATTTGCATTTCAAGTTCCAGATTGGTCCTGATGACTGGAAACTTTCTCCTCACCTTCCCAATCCTAACAATGGAGGGTGCTCTATTGAATGCTTCCCCTAAACACACTATGCAGATATTTCTATCACAGCACTTTTCACACTGTGGATAATTAATCATTCATTATGCATCTTTATCCTCATCAGCAGACATGATAATGAGCCTCTTGAAGGCAGGGGTCATACACTATCAGCTCTTTTTATTCCTAGCATCTAGCATAGTGCATGGCACAGAGGGGCTGGGCAGCAATGTTTGTGAAAGGAATCTATGAGGGTTCATATGCAAACATCCAAAAAGACACATTCTTGCATATGGGAGATATATTCTGCTTGTGTGACAACTGGCAGTTGAGTTTACTTGGAAGCGAAAGCACCCAATTAAAGACCAAATGCCACTTCCTTATTCTTCTCCATTTCCTTCTCTCTATATAGCTACCCAACCTCAATGCTTTATAATGCTTTTAGATATAAGTGACTGTGAATTATTACTGACTGTGGGTCTTTCCTCTTCAAGACTGACAGTCTAGGTTCCACATTTCTCAGGAAGGAGAGACTATTAAAACTATATTTTTGCTTACCAAGAGAATTGTTAATGGTTATCCTAGAGGGAAAAAAAATCTGTAAATATCCAACCTATAGTGAAGCCTTAAACTTATTCTCTTCCTTTACTAATGAAATTCTTTCTGAATTCATTGCCAGAATTGCTACATAATCATTACACTAAGAAAAGAGACAAGGCCTATAGTGAACTTTTTCTTTTACCTGTTTAGTCCTCATTTTGGAATCCAGTGACAGATTGTTGTAAGTATAATGTGCCTGTGTGACTCCACAGAAGAGAACAGCAACTATTCCTGAAATTAAAAAAAAAATTACCAGTCAAAACCAATTTTCTTTCCTTTCTGAGTCAAAGGGCATGGCTATCCCAGCTAGAAGAAGATGGGTTTTGTGTCAGCAGAGTTGAAACTGCTAATAACTACCATAATAAGGAAACCACAGTGAATCTTGCTACTTGCTTAAAACACAGTTCTTGCAGTATTAAATCTAAAGAGAAATATCAAGAAGTAGATTTCTTCAGAGAATAATTAATTCCCTGGTCACAAATTAGGAAACTTATATTTGAGAAAACGCGAACAAAAGACTATGGTCAAATATGTCTTGTCATGGCTAGTACCAACTACTTTGATGCATTTTATACTAAATACTGGTGTATTGGCTCAGACATTTGCTTTTCACTGGGCACCCTGGGAGTCTGAAGAGGTTCCTGTCACACCATAATTTAGTATAAAAACTGTGAGTCACAAACTTAAGAAATTTACAAGGATTTTGTTGCTGGTGCCAATGTACCTATTTGCCAAGTGAGGGAGAGAGGTCCTTGTTTGCCCCTATGCATGCTTGGCAAAGCTGGGTGCTGTGTTTCTGCTGCTGAATAATCTAACGAACATATTCAAGGCACACTCTCCTTGTAGGTGAGCCGGTCTGTTCTTGTGTGCTTCCTTCCTACAGAGGGCCTTCTACCTTCAGCTGCTTCTAGGCTGACTGTAGGATTACTTCTAAAACCATCTTATATCCAGATTCAAAGCTACATGAAGCCATACACACAATAGGTGCTCTCTGGGGACCAAGGAATAGCACCAATGGGACAAATGTGTTACTTGTCAATGGGCTTTGTTATTCTCTGTGCTATTACCCCTGGACTGGGGTGGGGAAGTGGTGGAGGCTGCATTTTATTTTGAATTAAAGATTAGATTAATTATGGGAAATTGGGCATAGAGGAGAGCTTGGGGAAAAACACAAGATGTAAGTATTTCTCAACTCGGAGCAAGGGGATTGAATTGAATTTTAAGCAGCAGAATCTTTCCAACTAAAAACACTCATAAATTAAATGCTGATGATTCTTAAGAGTATAGAGATATGTGAACTGAATACTGACATTGCAAATGAATCTACAATAAGGAAATTTAAAGAACCAAGCATTTTTTAAAAAACATATACCTAATGCTTCTATTTTTATGTCGGTTATTTTCAGATTGGCTTTGGATAAAATATTGCATATTTTAACTAAGGCATATTTACCTAGTACAAGTGCATAGACATTTACATTACTTATTTTCTATTAATATTATGCTTCAAAATTTTTAGGTAAAAGAATAAAAACCACTCAGAAAATTTGGCAAGAAATAAATATGCAGTAAGCATTTCCATGGATTTGGGGTAACTTTTCAGTTTCTTAGCCTCTTTTCAGAAATTCTAAGGAAAAAATGCTTATAAAACATCATATTTCACTCTTCACAGAATTTCTATTAAAACACAACCAGTACCAGGGAGACACTTAGGGTACTGAAGCACTTCAAGAACATCAGAGCCCTGGGAGGATCGCCATGCCGTTGTTTCGTATTGAAGTAGAGCAGAGGGATGGGATGAGCAGCATGATTAACTTTTCCTGCCTATAATGAAAAATGCTGAGATATAAACAGCATAGTAAGAACAGGAGGGACCCCATCTCAAGATGGAGATTCCATTTTAAAAACCAAGGAGTTAGGAGGTAAGATTCCTAGCATATTAGATGGTTATCAGCCAACAACCACCCTATCTTAGGGCACAGCAAGCAGTCCTCTATGATATGTCCCCACTGCTTGAGGGTAACCACTCTCTTGGTGAAGAACAGGATCAATAAATTCCTTGTGTTAAGTTTATCTTACAGAATTATCTAGAGGACTGACTGTGGATGGTGACATAATGTCTTTCACTGGAGAAAGATATGAGGCCACAGGTCAAAGTTACACACACACACCCTAACCCTTTGCCCCATTCTTGAAAGCCTTAAAAGACAGAATCCCATGCCCTTAAGTGTTCCTTCTCTCTGAGGCTGCCCACTGGGTGTGTGCTTTCTAAATAAAGCCTCACTGCTCAACTTACTGCGTTTTCTCTGTGCTCTTCCAATGGTAAGTGTCTTTGTTATTTTGCTATTTCATTCTATTTTCTAGACTTAAACACAAGTCTTCTTTCTGTCCTACTCCAGATCAATAGGGAGGGGCTGCTGAGATCTCTGATTTGGGTTTGCAAGTTCCCGTCGCCTGGATGACCCAACAGGAGTGCAGTTGTACGATCATGCTCTTTAGCAGCCTGCTGGAAAATCTCCTTTTTTTTGCTGTGGGAAGTTCTCAGAACATAATCTCACTGCATCCTGGGCTCTGTGGCTCCCCCAAATCCTGGGGTGGTAGGGGCCAGTCCCCATGCCGTGCAGATCCAAGTGGACACAGGACGCCAGGTGACTATGGCTTCGGGAGTTGGCAAGGGCATCTGCCCTAGGCCGGGCACTTTCCCTCTTTCCCTCTGCACTCTCCTGTCCTCTGCTGCCTGCAAGGCAGCTGCCATTCCCTGCTGCTCTCGCTCTAATAAATTTCTTCCTTACCTACACTCTTCTGACCTGCTAGAGAACTCTTTCTCACCCAGAGTCAAGAACCCTGCCCCGTCCAGGCTGAGGTTTCTCCCAGTGATTCACCTAGTGCACAGGGCGAGACCTCCCCAGATGCAGCTGCCTGGCATCAATATCAAATAATTTCTATATTTAAAAATGTAATTTATCTATCTCTGCTGAGAAATAGTCTGTGGGAGATTTTTCCGAGTGAGGTTTAGCTGACCCTCCCATTTACGTGGAAAGTTTTTGACTGTATACTGATATGTAGAGAAGTCATGAATAAAAAGGGTAGGAGTGTGTGTGGGTAGGGCATAAATGCAGTCCAAGAACAGGAAGAGGTAACAAAGTGATAAAAGGATAGGCAAGGGATCAAGACTGGCTGAATGCCTGCGTGGGCCAAGAATGCACTAGTTATATTTACATCATCTTATTCGTTGCATAGATTTAGTATCTCACAGCAGGCTAAGAGCGATTAACCAGCATTTCCCATGTCTTCCCCTTCTCAGTAATAGCGCCTCCATTCTTCAGCTGCTCAGGCCAAAACTTTGGGATTACTCTTTACTTCTGTCTCAGTATTTCAGCAATTCTGTTGTCTTGTCCTTCCAAACTCACCTTGAACCCAACCATTTCTGAACACCTCTACCACTAACACCCTTTCCCAAACCACCATCATTTTTTTCCTGGATGACAAGAAAAGATTCCTAATTGGCTCTCCAGTCTTCCTGGTTGACCCCCAAAATCTATCTCCCACTCAGCAATAGGGATTCTTTTAAGACAATTCAGATCATGTCAGTCCTCTGCTCTAAACTCCATGATGGGTCCCCACGGCTAAAAGGCCCTGCAGCATCCAGTCCTTCTCCCTTTTCTCCTTCCCCCGGGTCTCTGACCTCATCTCCCACCAGATTCGCACTAGCTGTACATTAGCCTGGTAAGCATATCTCACTGTAGGACCTTGTATTCAGGGTTCCCACTGTTTGGAAAGTTCTTCTGCAGATATCCACAAGGCTCCCTCTTTCCGTTTGGATGTTACATCATCAGCCTTCTCTGCATACTCTATAAAAATGGTGCCTACCATCATTTTCTCCTTGCCTTTCTTGCTTTATTCTTCTTCATATTATTTCCTGTCACCTAACATTTTATATATTTATATGTTTTTTATATTTATTTTCTGCCTTTCTGTATGGCAGTGGAAAGCTCACTGAGTGCAAAGCAATTCATTGGTCCCTAACTCTTAGAGCAACACCAGGCACACGGTAGGCACTTGAGTATTTGTTGAATAAATAAGTGTACATTCCTATCCCCATGTAACAACTGTAAAACCAAAATAAGTTATTCAAGGTCACCTTGAAAGTGGCAGAGCTGAGATTCAAAATCCCACAAACTCCCTGTGCTTTTCATAGATTTCTGTTAGACAGTCTATGAATGTTTTAAGGTAATCTTAAACCATCTAAAAATATAATTTCTGATGTCCCAGGGAAATAGAGATATGATGATGAAGATGATATATCTGAGCTGGCTGGAATCTTGTTTGAGGATATGTCCTCTAACAGCTCCTTTGGTTTTTGTGTTCTTGCCTCCATTAGAACACTAACAGGCAATGTTTACTGCTAACCCTTTTTGATCTGTGTACACATGTCACACAAGCAATAAGGAAGAGTGTGACTATGTGACCAGTGTTGTAATTAAAACAACTAAGTTGATCTGACCCTTAGTCGTAGCCTACATAATTATAATTCTATAAACTTGGTAATTAATTAACCACACAAATTACTGTAATTAGTATGACTTTTATAAGCCAAAACATATTTTGAAACCATCTCATCTAAATACATCTATTATCTATATAATTCTCTACCATCTAAACAGATTCAGAGTTGAGTTTTCTACCTTATGGAAGTGCATTTTAATTGTCATTATATTTTCACATGCCTCTGTTTGCTAGCAGTAGTTGTACCACTGTGATGAGGGGCCCTTGATAGCTCTCTTACATGCCTGGATCTCAGACTCTCAGGTAGAAGAAGGATGGGGGCTACCAAGTGTTCTTTGTGCCAATCATTAAACCAGGGCCTCAGCTCCAAACCCACTGTCCTGCGCTCCCTCTGGATTCTGGGGCTGGAGCTCGGCAGACCCCACCTTCCTTTGCCAGAGCCTTTGAGCTCTGCCAATACGGACCCCCAGAAGGAGGCCGGGTGCGGGAGTGGAGGGGAGGCCGTGCTCCTTCCTGTTTGCCTGCTGGTCCTGTCAGCTTCATCTCAGCGATGCTTTTTCACCAGAGCTTTCTTTGGCTTGTTTCCAGCCTTGTTTGCTATTATTGCTTTTTTCTTGTACTTCCAGACTATGGGACCCCCCTCAGGGAAAGCAGCAGCACCAGGCAGTGTCCTAGGAGGTTCGGGTCCCAACTCTGCAGTTCCCTAGTAGGTGCCTCTAGATTCC